TGAAAAAGTGTGTTTCCTCTCAGGTGGTCTAGTGAAAAACAAACCATCTCTTACCAGCCTTGCCTCATTGGTATCCCTAAACCACCAGCACTACATCAGCTCTCCTACCACTGTTAGTTCATGATATGGTGAAGGCATAAGCCTCAGTCACCTCTGATGTCCTGATCTGGGCCACAGCGGTCGGGAGGTCTGCAAGTCAGGGAGGTAAGAGATTTGGCAACCTGAGATGTGAGGCTACGACTCTATGGAAAGGTTGTTTCTGTTCTTGGTATTTTTGGTGGCCCAGATTCATGGCTCTCAGTTCTGAGCCAAAAGCTGCTAATCACCAGTGAGAATATCACGACCCAGTTGACTTGATTCCTGACATTTTCCACTACAGGGAAAGGAGAGGTAGGTCCATCGCTTTCAGTTCTGATCCAGACCCCATACTGTAGGGTCTTCTCAGCTGTTTCAGCCCTCTCCTTCCCCTGAGATTTGTGCCATCTCTTGCATCAAAATACCGATTGGGAGTATTACCTTCCAGCCCACCCCTGTTCCATTACCTTGACATAGAAAAGCCATTTCAGGACGGCGGTTTCATTATACATCATTGATGGCGGATAAATTATTAAAGCAGATTCATAACAAATGAAAGATATTTTACACAGACAGGCGTCCTGACAGTAACCTAGTTATGTCACAAAAACTGATTGCCACCAAATAGGAAATCCTGCCCCTTACCAGAGCAAGAGGGATAAACTATGAAAGATGCATGAGGATGGAAGGAGAAATTAAGTGACTGGAATGACAGAGCGGGTGATAAACAGATCAAGGCAAAGGAAGCAAAAGAGAAAAAGACAGTGGAGGAAAGAGGGAGTGAATGGAGGTTAAATAATTCAGGTGAGGATTTTTAAGAGTCTTGAAGAAATAAGGGAGCATAAGTCACCTAGGAATTTCTAGGGGGGCGAGGGGGGAGAACCACACACACACAAAACTGTCCATTCACAGCGTCAGAAAGATCTGTTGGACTTTCTTCAGCTAGATCCCAGCTGGCATAAATCAGCAAGGAGTCAATACAGCTGGCTGTATTTATGCTCTCCAAAGAAAGTGGCCCATAAAAGAAATTAAAGGGGTAAATCCAGCTGCTGTAACTCCAGTCGTTTTGCCCACTTTACACCAAGGACACTGTTGGTCTCCAATCCCAATTGAATTTCCCCTTGGTTTAGACAACCAGGCAGGTCTGCTGATGCTCGATAGCTTTGTCTGGGAGCTGTCCCCAGCCACCGAGCTCCTTCAGTCATTAACTCATTAAATGGAAATAACCTGTCACATTAGGAGTTTTGCAGCATTAATCGATGTTAATGCAGTCGGTGCCTCCAGTGAGCCAAGCTCCTCCCGTGAATTTTGTATGTCTCCTCAGCTTTGGGCGTGCTTTTCCCTGAAAAATCAGTGGAAGCCCTCAAAGCTGTGAAGTCTGGGACATACAACGGGAGAAATCCGATTCAGAACACACTTCTGTGAATCTTCCTCTCTTTTCCAATACTGTTTTTCCTCTTTCTAGGAGAGATATCTGCTCTGGCCCAATTTGTTACCCAGCTCCTGGAGGGGACAGAAAGTCCCTCCTGCCTCTATCTTCCTCCGTTGTGTTTCATTTCTGATCTACAAATACTTCTTTTCCTATCTTGCTCTCATTTCTGGCGTCCCATGCTCCTCCTGTTTCAGCCTTGGCTTTGCTTGGGTGGAGGATTCCCTCCAATCCTCCAACAGATTTGCACCATTGCTGATACACAGTAGGGGCAAGGCTGTAATGATGTAAAAAGCATGCTATGGATGAAAGGAGTTATGCAAAATTCAGCTGCATTGAATTAGTCTTGCTGGTGGGAGGATTATACCCATTAATCACATTTATTAAAGTAATACCTCAGGATAAGCTAAAGACAGGCAGGGCAGTGAATAGCAAGACAGAGGGAAACTCGCAGCCCCAAACACTTTGCAATGCAAAGAGAGGAGAAGGGTGGGGAATCATGTACAATCCTCTGGGTGGGCAATACGGTGACTGGTAATATGATTATTTGTGAGAGTGGGAGGAATTTGAATGAAAGGAATTATGTAGGGGAAGAAAAGCTAAACGGAAAGAGATCTGAAAGGCAACAGGAATCAGAGGGCAGCAGCTGATGACACAGGGAGGAAGAGGAGGGGAATATTAGCAATGCGGAACAGAATATGAGAGGATACAGAGGTTTATTATCATTTCTTAATAAACAGTAAATAGTCTAGCTTGTGGCAAAGTGAAAAATTGGGAACGAGAAGGGGGAGATGCTGAGTTAAATCAAAATAATGCATTTTTATATGAAAAAAAAGAATCACTTTGATCAATCTGAAATGTTTTGCCCAGTTTGATGAAAAAAGTGTGGTTATTTATGAGTTACATGCATATTTCTAAAGTGGGCATCTTCTGCTTTGATTTGGATCACTGCTGAAATCAGCTCTGCTGGTTCAAAACCAATCTCTGTGAAATTTCACATTGCTATTCTGGAAACAGTTCCCCTCAGTTTTAATTGCAGTCTAATTTCACAGGTACTTTTAGTCCATCCAGACTCCAACTCTAGTTTTTGGATCCATATGCAATGCATGCATTTTTAAAACATGCAGAGCACTGCACTTTCTAGTTTCTTGGATGCTTTTATTAGGGTGTGATTTTATGAGACAGCTAAGCTAATCTAGGAGCTGGCAGCTGCCCAAATGCATGGTCCCACTTCTGTTCCTGCCCTGGCCACTTATTCCTGCTCTCAGCTTGTGCTGAGCTGGTTCAGGGAGCTGAACAGGCAGAAAATTAGTCAGTGTTTCTGTGAACGTTATTCTTGGGTTTTCTGCCAGTGCACTCCTCCTGAAGGCCAGAAGTGCATTCGCGCCAGTTTAAGGGAGGAGAAGGCTCTGCAGAGCAGTGCAAAGCAAAGCAAACTAAGCTGTAAGACCAAAACCATATCACACGTCCTCTATAGACTGGACCAGAATTTGTTTTCTTGATCCAGAATGGCTCACGAATGTGAGCAGGACTATGGATACCTACTGGTGAACAAGCCTTTTTTTTTAATTTTTCCCCCATGGATATCCGGGTTGCTATGAATGACTGCTTATAGAGAAGGTCCTTGGCAGACTGGATTCATAGTGCTCTTTTTCCTCGGGTGCCTCTGATTCAGAGACAAGCCATTGGCCCCGAGACATCAAAGAAGCAACTGCCAGAGACGCCTGTGAGACACCACTTTACCGGGGCATGGGCAGCTCCAACATCCAGCAAGACTCCTGCAGGCCATGGATGTCTGGCTCTGGAGCTTTGGACTGGGCTCCTCTCTAATAATTATGCAATCGTGATAATTATACACAAAAAAAAAGTTAATTACTTAATCATGTGTAACAAGAACCCTTTAGCTACTAAGCGAGGCACACACTCAGTCCAATTATTCACAGCCATGTAATCTACTTCCCTTTGTATTGAATATTTCATTAGTTACTATTCACATCTTCTCGGAGGTGCTTTGCCATGGTTCAGTGATTGGATTTGTTCTAATTTCTTCCTGGCTTGTATAAACTCTTATCTTTACAATATTGCACTGTATATTATCCCTTTAACAAAAAGAGGAGATTCTTTCCACCCTTCCTTTTGCCAAAGAGAAATCACTACATTGCAATCACCAAAAGCTCGAAGGATTTTTGCCTTCCTGCTCTGGCTTCAAGGTCCTTTGGGTGGAGTTCAGCTTTTTTGTCCTGTTTCTGTACAGCTCCTAGCACTCCTTGGATTCTGGCCATCGCAGGGCACCTTAGCAATGGTACAGTATGAATAACAAATGGAAGCAGTAACCACGGGTCTCTGCAAGTGAAGGATATGATTGAATCTTCTAAAAGATGCACTTATTTTAAAGCCAGTCCAGTCATGGCTGGAATCAGTCTTGATTTACACCTGTTATACAAGGAATCTACGTATATGAAGAGTACATACACGGGAGCAGGAGATCTATCAGGCCCTCAGCCTTGCATTTTCGCTTTGAAATACTTGGGACTTCTCTGGGCCCAAGGCAGTTTCCTTCTAAACTAGATCCAGAAAACCGGATCCTCTGTTTTTGGCTCCAGTCACCATCATGCTCCATGGAAGCTGGCCCAGCTCTGCCCAACCGGATAAAGGAGCCGCCTTGTGTAATTGATTTGGGAAAGAAAAGCAGCTTTCCACTTAGCATTAGTGTTTACTGAAAGTAAAGTAAATCCCTGTACTAAGTGTTACAACACTTCAACCTAAACCTAGAAATATTTATTAGAGTGTGCTAGGCTAATGTCTTGCCGGAACTGTAGTCTGGATGCCTCATGCCCATGTCTGTCTACAGGGGACAGACTGCAGGCCTGGACTACGTCTTCCGTAATGTGCTGCAATATGCTGTATGGACATAGGAAGCCTCCCCCAGAAAAGAGAATGCAGATATAAAACAATTAGATTCACTGATCTCTTGAACTAGCTGCATTTCTCCCGTAACATTTCCGGTTTGCATTTTACAATTTTTCAACCAAACGTTTTTGAAAAATATGGAGGACAGATACTAATTTTCCAGCAAGTTTTGGTGTCTTGCCTGGGATGTTCTCTAAACGGCAGAACAAACTGACTGCTAAGTGCCTCAGAAAAAATGCCTGAGGTACTCTTGGCTACAACATGAAGACAAGAAGATTGGTTTCTTTGCCAAATGTTGCACAGGGCATGGTTAACCTGGCGACATCCAAATGTGTGTTCCTGACAGTGGTTAAGAACTTACAGCGCATTTAAAACTCCCAAGGATTTCGAAAAGAGCTGCTGACCCTATCAATAAGTTTTCCAGCATAATCTCTGAAATCCAGTATGATACTTCCATGAGTTAGGGACATGAATCTGATCTCCCTGTTGCCAGTGTACATGAGAGAAACCATTGAAATCGGTGGCATTTCACAGCTGTGAATAAAAGGGAGAATTGGACCCATTTTCTTTGTCTGACTTGACTTTACTGAATATAAATCAAGGCACAGTCATGCTAACTGCATCATACAGATCCTGGTGACAGTTACTTTCTCAGTGCTTGAGACAAGAGAAAATATTGTTCAACTCTTGATCATCAGCTTTATTGTATGCCAGCCAGACGATACACATTTCATGCAGACTACACGTTTGTTCCAACTGCCACTCAGAAGAAAATCTTGACTTCATGCGCGTTGCTCCTGTTCTAAGGTACTTGGTTCTTGGTCTGTAGCACCAGTGGTTTTCTCAGGCATCCTGTAAGCAGAGAAAGAGCATTATTGCAAAGCTGTTAGAGCAATCAGCTGGCGCAAGACAGCAAAATGCGTCCCCCGAGCTAGATTTTGCCCAGTGGCACTTCGCTTTGTGGAGCTCTCCTCAGGCCGCCTGTACATGTTAGTATGTTCTCAGGATGCTCAGTGAGCCTGGTTCTGGTCCCCACAAGGAGCCAGTCCAAAACCCATGGAAGCCACGGGGCTGAAGTCCACAAAATTCAGAGGGCTGAAGCTCTTGACCTTTTCCTCAGCCCCTGGTTCATCTGGGACCAGGATCAGGCCCACTGGTCAACTATGAAAAATGCTTGCCAATTGATTATAACCTGCATCAAAAGAGCACCTCGCAGTAAAATTGTCTCACAAAGAAGCAATTTGTTTCCCTGAAGGCAGGTGGTGAATGCCCTGCAATGCAGGAGAGCTGAGTCCTACTGCTCAGGAAGCGCCTGGTGCCTATTAAAGCAACTGACAGGAAAGAAAGCCCATTTAACACATGCTGAAGTCTCAGTCAAGGGCACCCCTCCTGCTCAATGCCCACAGGGGACACCAGGAGGTGACAGTGGAACCAAGGCACTCGATCCCTGTTGGGATCAGCTCAGGGCCAGCTGTCTTCCTAGGGTAAATCAGCAGAGGTGAATCAGTGTAAGCGCCACATTTCAATCGCTGGTATCTAGCTTTACATGATACAGGGAAACTACAACTCCTGTGGAGTGGATTTGGCTTAGGCTTGGGTGGGAGCACAGGAGGATAGAGCCCTGGAGTTACGGTGGGTGCTGTTAGGAGGATCTCTGGATAGGTGTTGGAGGGAAGGATGGGTCTTGTTGGAGTGCAGCAGAGACCAAGAAGGAAAGGTCTGCGGGTTGTGAAGGAATCTACCTTCACTAGGAGATAGAAAGAGAAGGAAGATCTCTAGGGCTGATGAGAGAAGTGCGATGGATGGGGAGGGATCTTTAAGGCTGCAGAAAGCAGATGGAGAGGCAGGAGAAATCTCATCAGCTTTAAAACGACAGCTTGGTATGGCAGTTGCATTAAGGGCTTGTGGAGACACCCTTCTTCCCCCAGCCTGGTTTGTAGCCAGCTCAGAGCTTAAAGGACAGGAGGAAAGGAGAGTTTGACAGCCGGACTAGGAGAACAGATGCAAGTTACCATTTCCCTGGGTCATAAAACAAGCACAATCCAGACGTGAGATTAACCTTCCTTGTTGAGAGGCTCACGGGACTGGACAGTGTGGAAAGCTGTGGCAGGATTGCTTTTGCTCAAATACTCACCCTTGTCCTGCCCTTCATGTTTATGATGAAGAGAAATTTTCTGCCAGAAGTTGTTGGCAGAGGTCAGCAAGCCCTTTCCCCAGTGATCACTGTGTAGGGGATAACTTGTGCAGAAAAACAACCGAGTCCTTCCTACCTACTGGTGCCTGTCACTGGGAAGGAGGTGTGCCCAGCACCACAGATCCAGGAGATTAAGGAAAAATGCAAGGCAGCTCCTCTTTGGAAATCCGTTCCACTGTCAGGTCAGAGCAGGTCCATGCTGCTAATGCACAGATGTCTGCTGAGACATGGCCCATTGCCCGGTGCCTGGAGAGAGATGGAGATGCCTGCATGTCCTCACCAGTGGAGACCACGCCCAAGGGCACAGGCATATGCACTCTGGGCAGGTCAAACCTACTCCAGATGCTGTGATCTCTCCAAACAGGCCTCCGCATCTAGTAAAGGATGACCCAGTACCTATGGGGAACTTAGGTCTTCCTGGGCACAGTGTGGATGTGGTGCTCCCACATTGTAGGCAGGTCAAGACCAGACTAATTCCAGCAGTTCTCTGGGCTTGATGTCCAATCCCATGCTTGCTGCTGCTCTGCATCTCAGAATATTGAGTTTGAAAACCAAAGACCTTTTTTCCTGGAGAACATAAACTGTTCAAAAATCACCCTTCACCAACTTTTCCCTTAGCCCCTGCTAAAATCATCAGGGGAATTAACCCTTTTCAGTAGCTTCAGTGCAGTATGTCTCTGTTGAGACAGCCATGAAAGCTGGTGCGTGTTTATGTGGTGGATACTTCCCAGTTTCAATCTGCAGGCTCTTTCCTCACGCGTGTGTGCATCTTTCAGCCACGTACTGCAGGCTGGCTAAGAGCCAGCCCCTTGGAGGAGAAAGAAGCTGTGTCCCATCCCCATCCCCTGGCTTCCTCTTTGTTTGCATTTCATGAGAGACCGGAGCAAAGATAATTGTGTGATTGTCCTTCCCAGCAAAGCTCATTCAGAACCTGTTTTAAACTGGGGGCGGGGGGAAGGGCAGGGGGAGGTAATTACATTATTTTCCCCTGAATTCGGTACTCAGGGACAAAGCAGCATTGCACTGCCTCTCACCAGGAAGAGACCAGCCCCAGCTGCTCCCTGCCAGGGCTGCCCAGTGAGATCCGGCTGCATGCAGCAGCGCTGCGAGGAGTGAGGTGGGAGGGTGCAGCATCTATTGCCAGGGCAACTGGACGGTTGAAAGGAAAGTCGATCCTCCTTGTCTTAGCCAAGCGAGGAGTGAGTTTGGAGATCTTTGCACTCACAAAGGCTACCGGTGGCAAATCGTTGTCTTGATGAAACCCAAGCCTCAACTTGCGTGTAGGAGAGGTTAATTATGTGGCGTGACAAGGTGAAAAACAGAGAACGGATGGATTGGAGGTGACAGATCATTACTCAGGTTACAGTTGAGAGAGAAAAGCAGAAAGAGTCATGATAAGAAATTCAGCAGGGGTTTGTTTTTCATAGGCAGCATCTGGTGTCTGGTTGAAACAATTGACTGAAGCTCTGCTTATCACGAGCACACAAAGCACAGCCTCCTTTTTGCTGGTCTTGGTGCAAAAGCAGGGAGCACACTGGTGATCCCAGTGCATACTCCAACCAGCTCTGACTGGTGCTGATGGGCGACTACCTATGCCTGGATTGTGCCCTTGTGACTTGGGGGTCTAAACTTGCCTCTGATAGCAACGGACCTCAGAAATGTTTACCCTGTTCCTTGCAGAAGCCCAGGACCAGCTCATGTCTGATCGCAGTTCCTCTGAGGATTTAGGTCTCTGTCTCTTGGTGGCCTCCTATCAACACATGGCTGATAATAGTTACCCTTCTGTGCAAAATCATCTTCATTCAAAGAAGTTTAACTATTTGGGAGCTGCCATGAATCAGAACAGACAGAGCCAACTCCTGGAATAAAGAAAATAAAAAGTTGCCTTCAAGAGCAACTAGAAGCAGCTTTTTTTTTCCGCTCCTGGTGGCACAGAAAAAGCAATCCAGCCCTGGGTAGGCTCCTTAGTTTTGAAGTTTAGCACCAAAAGACCTTTTTTCACAAAGAAATATGAGAAATCTGTCCTTTTTTTTTTTTTCCATAAAATTCAAGTGAGGAGATGGATCTGCTCCTTAGAGGAACTGACCTTCACAGGTAGGACACTCAGCTGGGAGGACAGTGGCATGTTCATGTTCCTCAGAAGATATGAATTGATTGATTCCTGGGCAAATGCTTTAATAACTAAGTCACTGAATCACTTCTCTCTTCTGAATGCAGTATTGCCCTTTGTGCACCAAAGTTTGCTTTCTGTGATAACAGAGACAGAAACATAAATCTTCTTTGCCCTGGTAAATGACCTCAAGGTTGTGCTCAGAAATTATTCTCAGTTACATTCCTTGGAAAAGGCAACGGCATCAATAGTGGAATCTGTACGTTATAGCTGTAGCCTTGTGCCTTTCAACAAGAAGTGACAGATTAGTGTATAACATGAGGTTGGCAATGCAAACTTGTCTCCCTCAGGCAAATGACGACTTTCAGCCTGGGTCTGGATCTAAGCAAGCCGAGGGGTTGTTATCACTTGCCTAGATTGGCTATGTCCTGGAAATGTGCACCAGCTAGAAGTCAGCAAGGGCCGAAGAAGAGCTTGGTGGTGAAATGACCTGATTTAGGCATCAGATGAGCAACAGGAAGCTCAGCACTTCAGAACCTAAAAACTGTCCACCTGCCAAGCAGCAGATATACAAGCACTTAGAAGACTTTGCTAGCAGAAACTTAGACAATAAAAGATTTCAAGGCATCTCCAAGTTCAGCTAGGGATCCCAGTGGCATTCAGAAATCTTGTCCTAAATATTATGTAGTCTCTAACACTCTGCAGCTGAGATCTGGGATGTTATTTTGGGTTGTTCTAGAGCTTTTTCACTCTTGGAGGCTAAAATAAGAGTTTGGAGGAGAAGGAGGCACCATGGAAGCATGGCAGATGGGAGCAGGTTGTGGTGATACATGGAAAGGCATGAAAGCCATTACCTACACTATGTGACCCTCTTTCCCACTTCTTCTTTCCAGTATCTACACTCAAATTCCTAGAGCCCGGAGATGTCAAGCACAACCCAGCTTGTGGTCTCGCTTGTCTTTGATGAAAACTCCAGGCTCCTCATTGAGGAGGACTGGCTTTCCCCACGCGTTTCTTCTCTTCTGTCTGCTCTTGCACACCCAAGGGCAGGCACAGCATCACTGCAGGAAGCCCAAGAGATTGAGAGCTTTTTGATTCTCCTCCCAGGCTTGTCCACCAACCAGCCACAATTTGGCCTTAGCTTTTTCTCCAGATCTAATGCCACAAATAATGGCATTCTTCTGCAAATGCCACATAAAAACAAGACCAGGCTGTGAGCTTGGCCGCTCATTCAGCATGAAAAGGAGTCTCCTTTGCTTTCTGGCAGGGTGGTGTCACACCACCTGCAGTGAGAGTCACCGTAAGGGTAGAGAAACTGAGCTCATCCTGTAACGTGTAACTTCCACGTGAGTGTGGAGCAGCTGGGAAGAAGCATGGTCACCACATACACTGCTAGCACCAACCAACACATACCAAGCTAGCACTTTCAGGCAAAAAATTGGGACAGGAATGGCTGACAGTGAGCCAGGAAGGAGCAAGGACCCACCTGGGACTCGCTCAGTAAAAATCCAGTCCCTGCTGTACTCACAGGATGAAAGGACTGTGGGC